AGCCGACCTGTGACAATGAGACTGTCACAGGTCGGCTCAGTAGATCGGGAGGTGAGGGAACACATACCGGGTTCGCTCACCTCTTGATCCTGTCACGGCTCTCTGCCGTGACAGGGGGAGGGGCTGGATTCCCCGCTCCGATCTGCCAGCGCTGACTGGCGGAACGGACGGGGGAGGGGGGGGGGACAGCTGGCTCTGCCTCTAGATAGGCAGAGCCAGCTGTCACTCACGCAGCTGGGCGGATTTCGACGTGAGCTGTAGCTCCCTATATACTGAGCTTAGGGTGACGGGAGGACGCTAGTTTGTGTCCCCCCGTTACCCTTAGGAGAACGATGGGGAAAAGCCCTGACCCCATAGTTCTCCTTTAAGCCGACCTATGACAGTCTCATTGTCACAGGTCGGCTGGAACTATGAGGAGGAGTGATTTTCACTCCCCTCATAGTTCTCCTTTGAATGATTTCCTGTGTGTCTCGGTGGACCCCAAGAAAAGGATTTGACTGCGAGTACATAATTCCTATATTCCCCTTGGAGACGGAGATCTGGAGAGATGACGGGAAGATGTCGGTGTTTCTGAGCAGAACGTGTCTTCTTTTTCTTTCAGCGGACTTCCGGACAGTAAAGGAAACTTGCTGCGATTCATCCAGGATGTCCATAAACACTACTTGCACCAGCGTCCCCTCCACATGCCCATTGTAGTGCACTGCAGGTGAGTGGCTCTCTCCTCCCGCCCATCGTCCCTGTACCTGGAATGCATCCTATGTAAGTCCTGATGTTACGTTTTTTCCTTCTCCTGTAGCTCTGGCGTGGGGAGGACGGGAGCTTTCTGCCTCCTATACGCTGCCATGCAGGAGGTGGAGGCCGGGAACGGAATTCCAGACCTGCCGAAGCTGGTGAATAAGATGAGGCAGCAGCGGAAGCACATGCTGCAGGAGAAGGTACGCCGCCGCTCGTCCGAAGGGGCTTCCTCGGGGTGTGAAGTGTCTGATGTGCAGATCTTATACGGGGGGGACATGTATGGGGAGTCGGGTATTGCCCTGGGGGGGGACATGATGCCAGACGGGACCGGTGTAAAGCCGGCCATATACTTTTTCTTGTCTCGTTCGGCCCCGGCAGGAAATCACTCGCTTCCCCCATCTACGTGATACAGTCTGGATGGGGGAACCTCCCCTGCTGGCTAGTTACTATTATACAGGATTTATGGAGCGCCAACAGTGTGCGCAGCGCTTTACAATATAAGGAAGACATTACAATCACAAAACAAGATGGTAAGGAGGGCCCTGCCCCTGAGAGCTTACAATCTAAAAGGGGAGGGGCCAGTGATACATGAGGAGGGAGCTGTGTGGGGATGAATTGTTTGAGAAATTGATGGTTGAGTGGTTAGGTTGAGGTCGGAATGGCTTCCCTGAAGAGATGAGTCTTAAGTATTGGCTGCAGTCACTGTTCAGCCAGAAATTCTCCACCCGACTTCTACAAAAGACATTTTAATAATCGGCCAATGCAGCAGAAGACGGCCGAAATCCACCCATGCATCGCGGCTAGCCAGTGGCGTAACAATCGCCATAGCAACCCAGGCGGCCGCTATGGGGCCCGTGCACAGGGGGTCCGGCATCCCTCTGATGCCGCCTGGGTCGCTATGGCGTCTCGGGTGCTGGCTGTCACTGACATAGCTCAGCAGCTGCTGTGAAGGAGAACGTTCCCCCCTCAGCCCCTGCTGAGCTGTGTCAGTGACAGCCGGCAGATGCGGCAAAATAGGCCGGTTACACCGGCATTTTCAGTAAAGGAGGCGGGGCCCGCCTAACAGCAACCCCGCCTCCTCATCACTGGCCAGCGATATAAGAGCAGGTGGGGCCAGTGATGTAAGAGGAGGTGGGGCCCGTCGATAGAAGGAGGCGGAGCCCAGGAACGGAAGAGGAGGCAGGAGCCCGGCGGCGGCGACAACGGAGGTGACAGGTAAGAGGCGTACAGCGCAACTGAGACCTTGCAGAGCCCACCATAGAGAGTCTATGGTGGGCTCTGCAAGTGGCATAACTAGCAATCACGGGGGCCCCATACAAAATTTTGCTATGGGGCCCTGTGATTTCTAGTTACGCCCCTGCGGCTAGCGTTAGAGTATTGTCTCGCAGCGATGTTTCATGAAGATGGCTGTGTGCCGCCTTTGGGCTTGGGCTGATGCCGTCAGTCTGAGACACTTCTAAGATCAATCGGAATGAATTGACCTCCTTCTGACTTGCTTCAAGTGGCTTTTACGTTGCCAAAGCCTTGAAGCCGCACAGGCCCCAATACTCCCTTTATCATTAAACCCCCAAAACGCTGAGGAGTTGATTATTTGGTATTTGAAGTCTTCCTTCGTCTTCTCCCAGATACATCTAAAGTTCTGCTACGAGGCCATTCTAAAGCACGCGGAACAAGTTCTGCAGAGACACGGGGTCTTCACCCCCTCATCCAGCAAGCCACAGCCCGCTTCCTCTCAGAAGGTAAGTGCATGCAGGAGGTGGCTGGAAGGGGAAGAAAGGCCGGAGAAGGGAGGTGGAGGGAGATGAGGGTCTGGAGGAGAAAGGAGGATATCTGGGAGGGGAGGTCAATGGCTGGAGATGAGAGAGAGCCTGCAGGAGAAAGCATGGTATTTTGGAGGGGAATGCGGGTGGCTGGAGATGAGTGCCTGGAGGAGAGAGGCGGGGCTATGGAATGGGAAGGCGGGTGGATGGAGTCAGGTGCCTGGAGTAAAATTGCGGGTAGCTGCAAACGAGTGCCTAGAAGAAAAAGATGGATGGCTGGACATGAGAGCCAGGAGAAGAAATGCGGATGGCTGGCGGAGAAAGGAGTCTGGAAGGGGGAGGCGGGTTGCTGGAGATAAGTGCCTGAAGGAGGAAGGTGAGTGTCTGGGAGGAGAGAGGCGGGTGTCTGGGAGGAGAGAGGCGTGTATGGAAGGACCCCAAATCATAAATTGTTACCGGGTTAGAGGCAAATAGTTGTCGGCAGAATTGGCTTTGAATAACTTTACTACATAGACAAGAAAATTCTGCCCAAATATCAGGTGAACCCGTCCTTCCTCCCGAGCAGGAGTCCCAGATCTACTAAGCTGTGACTCCAGATCCTGTTTGTTCCTGTTTTGATAAATCTCCCCCATTGTATTCTAGGACCTTACAAGGTTAATACAGGATCGTATTCAGTATGTGAGCGTGTTTTTATCTCTCGCACACCTTTTATTTATAATTTTGTCCTCCATTACACGCAGGTCAAGCTGTCCAGCAACATCGTGCTGGGACAGACCATTTAACCACCGTGACAGGGGAGGGGCTGGATTCCCTCCCTCCCCTGTCCAATCCTCCAGCGCTGACTGGCGGAATGGACGGGGGAGGGGGCGGGCACAGCTGGCTCTGCCTCTAGATAGGCGGAGCCAGCTGTCAATCACGCAGTTGGGTGGATCTCAACAGTAATGTCAGGATCGGTCCCGGCTGCGGCGTCTCAGTATACCGCGAGCAGTAGCCCCCTATATACTGAGCTTAGGGTGACGGGGGTACGCTAGTTTGTGTCCTCCGGTTACCCTAAGGAGAACTATGGGGAAAAACACTGACCTCATAGTTCTCCTTTAAGGAGCGTTAGCTGGACTCGTCGTTGTCAATGTGCATCAAGTAAAAGACAAAGACTACTCTATCTAGAGGGCGACAAGGCTGCTCTGTGATTACACGGCGGTGTTGTCACCCTGTTACAGGAAGTGGTAGTATAAATCTTCTGTCGGACTGGAGAGGTAATAAAAGGATATTTTGGGGTATTAATAGGAAGTTCCGTGTTTAGTGTTGGTGACGGAACGCATCTTAGATGTCATTTATTTTTGCCCGGAATTCCCAACTGACCCTTCCATTTCCCTTCCAGACGTACACCGTGCTGGACCCGCAGGACCTTGTGCTCGGAGGGGATATGACCATCAGCTCCATCCAAGCGACCATTGCCAAGCTGAGTATTAGGCCGTCCTGCGGCAGCCCCGAGGCCGCCAACCATTACCCGCCATCTTCAATCCCTGCCGTAAGCGAGCAAGCGACAATGGAGTTGTCGCAGCCGGTCCTTCCCCCGACCTCCTCCCAGCCGGATCTCATCGCGCAGACGTACGTAGAGCCGGCTCCATCTCCGATCCCGCCTCTGCCCGCTTCCAATGGCCCCGCCCCCGAGGTCCCCGCAGAAGCCATTAACCATCATGCAGTGGCCTCTGAAGATGCCGGACCGGAGCCCGGCGGCGCCCCCCCCGCGCCGCCCTCGTCCTCTCTGAACCTGCTGGCCGCTCTCACCCCGGAGGCCTTCAACCTGGACTCCTCCCAGCGGGGGAAGCAGAAGATGAACAAGCAGAGCTTCCTGCAGCCTCAGAACGACGGCGGCCTGGCCCGGGGGGGCAAGACCGGCGACGACCCCCTGAGCATGCTCGACCCTCTCTGGACACTCAATAAAACCTAGGCGCGGACGTCTCTCTTGGAGTCGCAT